AAAAAAAAATGATTGAACAGCTAGTAAATAATGTTAAGTAATTAATTAAATAGCCACACAAATATGATTTCTCTTATCGTAGCAATAAATTAAAAAAATAACTACACTGCAATTACTGTGCGTTCGTTTAATTTCGAACATAACGTAAGGTGTACTGCCGATAAATGAGAACAAAAATTTTTAGCCGCAACAATAATGGCGAAAATGTGAAAAATTCTTGATAAACTTACTTGGGGTAGAAGTAGTCGAGGTATTGAATAACAATATCTTTTAAAACGTTTTCAGTTTTCATGCTAAAAACGCTGTTAAAATTCCACCGAGAAGCGTCGATGCAATCGGCTTTCATATTTTACTTGAATTAATTAAAGAAGACAATGAGTAGCTAGTTTTATGTCAAGAATTAACTGTGCTGTAAAGAGCACCGAGCCGTCTACACAACACACCTCTCAGAATTGAACTGACGTAAAACTGAAATCCTGCTGAAAAGCTCGTGTACCCTGAGCGACGCTAGACTGCAGGACCGCGAGATAAGCGAACAGCTCATGCGCAATCAAACAATTAAGCAGCTTCGACAATTTTATGATTAATTATTCTCATACCTTTCTGCTGCTACACATATATCTATAACTAAGTATTAATCTACACCTTTTCTATGTACTTTTTACTACTTAATGCTTTTATCGTTTTCTTATAGTATCGACGACCGAAAATTTCAATTTTATTTACAACATTGAAAGTTTAAATATACACTAGTGGCGAGTCGACAACAGAACATACAGATATTGTATTATATGCAGTCATCAAAGGGCGGCATCATGTCTTGAAACATGCGACGTGTAACATGAAAATTCGTACTAATACCTTCAGCAATCTTTTCATATAATTCATAAAGTCCGATACACCCAACGTAAAGCCTATGAGGGGTGTTGCGAAGTGATCAAAAAAATTTCCAGTCCAGTTGGTTTAAGGCAGTTTGATATAGACGTGGTTGAAAAAACATTTTCCACATTTCCAACAAGTTATCTATTCATTTCGACATCCTTAACTATTTAACTTTACTTTAAACTTTGGAAAATGTTCTTTGAATCATCCTGATCAAAAGTCTCAAAAGCAACAAATCCCTAAAAACTAGAGCTTTTGACTTACGGTCTCTCTAGAGTAAGATGAAGTTAACTCCGAATTTTTAAGTAAGTTATGATAGGTTAAACAATGATCCTTTAAACTGATGATGTCTTGAATTGGGTCTAAAGGCCGTCGTCAGTTGGAGTTACTTCCTGACGCTTCACTAGCACGAGTGGCGAACTTCTTCAGAGGTCCTGGATGTGGACTGAAGCTCGCCACTCGTGCTAGCAAACCGTTAGAAGCAACTTCAACCGATGACGACCTTTAGAACCGAATCAGGAAAGCAACACTTCACCTACTGGCTACGAAAGCCTTTACCAATTATCCTTTGACTGCCCTTCTCAAATGTATAATTTCTCCAACATCAAGAAATCTTTGGAAATTGCCGAAGGTAAAAAGAACTACACGGAAGATAGTAAAATCCTTTCGTAATAAGAAGTACTAAATGTACTCGGGAACTAAAATATACAAGTGGGGTAATTTTATATTTGGAAAGGGCACGATTTAACGGTCTATTTTTTAACCGATCACACCTTAATTAAACTCGACTTGAGACAAATAAAAATTACTTAGCGGCCCTATAACTCGTGTAGCTTCATAGTTTCATTCATCTTTTGCTGCCAAGGTTACAGTATATGTATGACTGTCTGACTATACCTGAACTTGCGTAAAGATAACTAAAATTACATGGGTTGGCATTTAAAATGTGGCAACTTATTATTGTTAGTCAAAATGTAGTCTCAATGACGTCCGCAGTTGTTCGATGTCGAAATATTTCCCGGAGTTTTCCTTTAATAAACCGACAAATTAAGTACTCAAAAGAGTTTTCCTGTTATGCCTCTTGTCGCCGTTCCAAAACCGAATAGAAATAGCGTCACCGAAAAACAAAAAAGATGAAGTTCAATTTTTAACACGTCTACCAGATCGTAGACGAAAATAGTATAAACAACGACCTAAAAAAGTTCAAAAGGTTTAAAATGGAACTCATGGGAGGGTCAAAATATGTATAGGTACAATAAGAATTTAACTTGTTGAGTAATGATATTTTGAAACTATTCGATAATAAGTTTGATTTTGAAATCTAAATTACACATAGTTTTGGAAAAATGAATGGTATGCACTTGATGACTGTTACAAAGTGAATGTCGAAATTATCATTTTGGTGCTTTTACTAGTACATATACAAAGCTTACTATTTAGATAGGTACATATGTTACTTACGGAAAAAATGTATTTTCAAGTTTTATGGCCGTTAGGCAAATGCTAGGGCGTTTTTAAATGGTGTAGTTAAATATAAATCACCAAAAATTTAGGTACTTAGTCGAAATTAATGTTTTTTTTATTCCAAATATAATTCACAAAAGGGTTCCAAAATCTGCATTATATGCGAAAATTTTTGCTTTTAATATGTCTCTAACCCTTCACGTATCAGAAGATGTTCTACCACCCTATTTCCTTTTTTCTTGTCCAGGAACCCCGGGGTTTTATAGAGGAATCACAGGGATTCCGCGAGTTAGGATACTTTTGTCCTGCAAATGTAAATACAAAACTTTGCGAAATACAACCGTTCGGTATTTAACCGTAAAAACGGCCAACGACGATAATTATTTTTGTGAAAGAAATATACCTAGATGCCAGATGAGAGGCTAGGACATTCGGTCTTACATTAAGATACAATAAATTGGATACAATTGGTTCATTCCTAGTTCCTCGGCTATTTTGTAAAGTAATTTTGGCAACCAAATTTTACGTCCATTAGTCATATCGAATTATTCAATAATAGCCCAATGATTTTTAAAAGCTAGTTTTACATACACGAATTTTTCCTATAAAATCAGTTTATATCTCAGAAAGAAAGCACAGGAGGTGCCCCAAAATACCTATTTTTCTTTGGCAACTAGGTACTTTTATTTTGACAAAATTAACCGTTTTAGTGCCAAATTTTTCTAGCGCAAACAATACTGTGTTAGAGACGCACAGACGCTATTAGTTAATTATAATTGTTAGATAATAAGTAAAAGTAAGAAGTGCTTATTATTTCACCACAATATGAAAAAAACAACTTACACATGCAAATAATTCGTACCTGCTATAAATTTATTTTTAAAGGTAGAGGTAATAAAATTAGCAATTTTGACTAGCACAACTAACTATTTACGTCAATGTTTTTTTTTAATACTTTGAGATAAAAAAAATGTATAATGCGATAATTATACAGCAATTTATTAGTAAAAAAACATGAAATGCTTTTAGCTAAACAATAAAATCTTTTTGTTCTCATTGCTATTTGCTACCAAACCAATTTAAACCAATAGAAGTACCTACGTAATATGCGCCTTAATTTGTTGAAGGAATACCATTCCCATCGAATCTACAATCATTTAAAAGAAATATTTATCACCTAATTACTTTCTGTAACTAAAAAATAAAAGAATCCAGAGTTAAGTATAAACGAATAAAAAGAAAAAAACATACGGAAAGTCGTGAAAATGAAAACAATTAAGAATAAATTTTCACGAAAGTGAAAACGTTTATAATTGGATACCTAAATACATGAAGACTTTCTCATATTCAATACAAAACACCTTTACACAATAATTTCAAGTGAGATTTACTATTTACCATAAACAACATCAATTATCAAACCATTCAAACTAGGCGATTTTTAAGTAATTAATTTTAATTAACATAATTAATATATAAATATGTGATGTGTACATTTTACGTTAGAGAAATAGAGAAACAAATCACGTGTTGGCAGAAAACGACCTTGTTGTAGGTTACCCTTTTTATGAAAATTTTAATCTAGTTTTGTTTAATAAATGCTTACGTCAATGAAGTTTCAACACCAGCGGGAATACAAAAATTCTAAATTCAATTTTATCTTTGCGATTGTTAAATAATTATAATGGTTCAGTAGCAGCTCGTGACCAGTTGACGTGACGTATGATTTTGATATCTTAATAAAAACATTCGAATAATGCCAATGTAGCTTGCTCGGTTTTGCTAGAGCTTTTCTGGGCTCATATTTGAGTGCGTCATACAAAAACTTTTTTTATTTTTTAACTATCCATAATTAGTAGCGCTCTCGAAAAAGTAAGGGGAATTGCCCTAAAATATTGAAATTTACAGATATCCTAATCTTAAATCCAAACAAGCCAAATTAGCACCATTTGGATTTTGAAGATAAACCCTAGTAGATTTTTACGGTCTTATATTCGGGTAAACACCGTAACTTATCGGGTTGTTCGGAAAGTCATTTCGTTTTTTCCCTACAGAGGATTTAATTGTATTCTTTTGCACCCAACTTCACATTTAAGCCGCATAATTTTTATGTGCTTTGAGAGCTCATATAGCAAGGCTTGTGTGTGAAAAATTCCAATTAATTCTACGCAGTAGTTTTTGGTTGGTGCCCTTTTAAATATGGAGAGCGATAAGCAGCATTTTCGACATATCTTACTGTTTTACTACAGAAAGGGTAAAAATGCTGTTCAAGCCAGAAAGAAATTGACTGATGTGTATGGAGAAGGTGTGTTGACAGTACGCCAGTGCCAGAACTGGTTCGCTAAATTTCGATCCGGCAATTTTGATGTCGAAGATGCACCACGTTCGGGAAGGCCGGTTGAAGCTGATAAAGACGCGATAAAGGCATTAGTTGATGTGAACCGGCGAATAACAACACGTGAGATCGGATTGAGGTTAAATTTATCAAATTCAACAGATTTTGACCACTTGAAAGGCCTGGGATTATCCTCGAAGCTCGATGTATGGGTTCCCCATGTTCTCACAGAGAGAAATCTGTGTCGCCGCATTGACGTCTGCGATTCGCTTCTCAAACGTCACGAAAATGATCCGTTTTTGAAGCGCATCATCACTGGGGACGAAAAATGGGTTGTATACAACAACGTCAAACGCAAGAGGTCATGGTGCAAAAAAGATGAACCGGCTCAAAACATTTCCAAAGCCGATATTCACCAAAAAAAGGTGATGCTGTCTGTTTGGTGGGATTTTAAAGGAATCGTTTTTTTTGAGCTTTTACCGGATAACACAACGATTAATTCGGAAGTCTACTGTTATCAGCTAGACAAACTGAATGATGCACTTCAACAGAAAAGGTCAGAACTAATCAACAGGAAAGGTGTAGTGTTTCACCAAAACAACGCGACAATGCTACACCCACCATATTCTCCAGACCTGGCACCATCGGATTATTTGTTCCGGTCACTCCAAAATTTTTTAGACGGTAAAACCTTCACCTCAAATGAGGAGGTCAAAAACCTCCTCGATCAGTTTTTTGCCAGCAAAGACCAAAACTTTTATGAGCGTGGAATTATGCTCCTACCAGAAAGATGGC